AACAACATTATACTGAGACTGAAAAATCAATTATTTTTCAACTATCAGACATTGTTGTCATCTTTAAGTCATAATGTATAATGTTTGTGGCCATAAACACCCCAAATATGTTGGAGATATTCCATCTATCAGACAAAATCCAGATTCTAATGTCAAACTAGCCGGCAACTAAGGAGAATCAGTTAACCCTTTTGCAACCAGAGCCTCTTTAAGTGCTTTTCTGCAGAAGTCCCTGTGTTACATTCTAAATTTAATTACACACCTTTTTTTATCAATGTACGTGAAATAAAATAATATAATAATGTTGGTTATGATTTAAATTTTATTTTATCCAAGTTTTAAGTCTATTTTTCAAAATAAATCTTAAAAACTACTCAGAACTTCAGATGTATTGTCACATGACCAACGAGATATGAAAATTCTCTACTTTGAATCTCTGTATCTTCAATAATACAATGGCAGTTGAATAGAGGTATGTCTAGATAATAAGTTGTTTACATAGCCTTTTGACTCATTCATTTCAAAGTTCTCTGAATGAATGCAGTTCAGACAAGTAATACATTTTTTTAACCCCTGACAAGTGCCCTGCCCACCTTCAACAGATTTGTATGAGCTTTATAGCCTACATGTGGATGCTACAAACACATGTTATAGTCATTAGAAAGAGTTCATTTTACATTATAATCTAACAATGGCTATTTTGAAATTGGTGCACAGTTTTTATCACTGAGGACATGTAACTGACTAGTATTTTGGCTGCTTGATTGACTATAGCACTTATGGGTGTTTCTTATCTAAATATGTTATTGTTAGAGATACACTTTAAATTGTATTTAGGTCTTACTATTATATTTTAGTAAATTATGTAGTTATGTTTTAAAATGCATAATTAAAAGGTTTAAACATTTTTTAAATATACATCATACTTTGCATCTGTTCTCACGGCTTAAAATATTACGCGCTGAATGAAAATTTTGCTGAAGGGTTGCACAGGTCTCCCAAAGAAACTGTAATATGTCTCGAGGGCACCGTTTACTTGTGTCGAGATGAATAGTAAGTGGTAAAGTACAAGAAAGAAAAATAAATCCCAAAAAATGAATTATATGTGAAAGGAAAAGACCTGAAATTATGAATTTAACAAAAGGAAGATCTTTAAAGATATTCTACAAAAATTAAAAGGTATGTACTTTTTTTTTCTGTTTCCAATTTTAATTATTTCATTGCAATGTAAGTAGTGGATAGTAATAAGAGTTAGTGATATGGTAGAGAAACTGAAAAATAGAATGTAAACATTTACCTTAAAAAACTTGATATCCTTTTATGAGGTTCCACAGATTATGCAAATGAAATATGAAAACTGTAAGATGAAGAAAAGTATTTTTATTTTTAAAATGAAAATTACTTTGCCCTCAATTTGTTAATATTTTGAATACAAGTAACTACAATAGAAAAATAACATATCTTTAGTGAAAACACTTAATTATAATAATGTCATTCTTTGTGTACAAGATACTTATGATATTTAGCATATTTTAGCATTTAGCATATCAACAAAAACAAAGGGTGGAGGTTGGGAGTTTTGCATCGTAGAAGTTTAGTGTGGTTTAATTCTACTCTAAGATCATATCTAAATATTAAGGGTAAATACCTTCCCATACCTGCAGACAGTGAAAGACAGTAGGAGTTGAAACGTTGTATGTTTAAGCAATCAACTCCCTTAGTTGATGGCTAGGTCGACATCGGTATCTGTATCCTGTCTGGTAAATGGAATATTCCTACCACATTTGGGTGCTTTGGCCACAGACATTATCCATTATATCTTAAAGATAACAACATGAATTAGTAATGGAAGAATAATTTTGATTTTCAGTCTCATTATAATGTTATTTTGGTTTTGTATTAAGTTAATTATTGTTTTATAGTGCTGAATTGATTGACTATTGACAATTAATGTATTTAATCTCATTAGAAATATTGATTTATATAGTGTATGTGTTTCTATTTATAGACGTTTGAGTAAGGAAAATGTGAAGCCTTCTGGTCGACAGCTTGGAAAACTAAGCCACAGCAATCCCTGTATTCTATTTGAATATGTAAGCATTACTTTTGTAATCATATAATCTGAAATAATATTTAATAATTATTTCATAACATCTTTTTTCCATTTGAAAATTTCAGATTTATTTATTTAATAATATTCAATTGAAACGTTGTACATTTGCTGTTATGTTAAATTTTTTTCTTCATTACCCATTCAAGCCGTCTCCAACCATTATTAACATTGGGTTCTGTTCACTATAAAATTACACAATGTTGATTACTTTTCCACATATTTTCTGTTTCCTTCAGCACTCTTGAATAACTGTGTATCTCAATTGTTTAGTTCACAGTCTACTACACCGATACAGAACAGCTAGTAATTCCGGACACAGTTTCTCTTAACTACATCACTATAGAATAAGTATGTGCTCCATTCAAATTCTGGTTGCTACAGTATTGTAAAAAAATTATTGACATATAATAGTCTTGTAAAATTAAAGTTTATGCTGCATTTTAATTCTGATTGATAATGGAAAAGGGAAAACTACAGGAAACAAGAAGAGCAACCTCAATAGGTGTAACTGTTGTTGCTGTCAGCACAGTTTAATTGATGTTGTATCCACCATGTAGTCATGAAACTATACATAATAACTTTTAATGTAGTAATTGTATATTAAGAAAATTCAGCAAGCTTTTAGTAAACATTACAAGGCTGTTGTACACAAAATAATCAGATATTTTAATAAAGTATTTATATGAAGGTTTGTCTCTATATTTATGAAGCCTTTACTGAGTTAGTAAGATAATTTTCATGCTAAGAATAAACAAGCTTTCTTTTGTCTTAGAGTATTAAAATTTCATTTGCTTAACTTTTAGAATATCCTAATTGAACATCAAAAGTTATTTTCATTAACATTTTATATATTATATATGTTATTTTCTCTACCTTAACTCAGTAAATTGAAATCTTCTCTTTGTGTTAGTTAGGGGTGTGGCTTGTGATCTTCAGTTTATTGTTTATATCTCCATAAAGCTAAAAGATTTGTCACAACAATCCTGCAGTTTAGCTCAGATATATATAGTATAATATGTCACATAAGGGGTACAGGATAATATAAAATGGGCAATTCAGAGTGAAAAAGTGTCACGTTATACAAAGAAATGAAGATTGAAATTTATTTAAATATTTCCTTTTGAAATTAATACATCAAACTTATATCAAAATGTGAATTATGAATTACATTTTGGTGTCAAGTTTATTGATAATAAAGTTATTTAATTAAATTTAGAGTGTAACAAAAAAGATTTTGACATGCACTCTTTGACCCTCCCATACTGAGAGAGAGAAAAAAACAATTTACATGTAAAATATCTTAAGCCTCTGTAGTGATCTATTCTCATCCAAGAAATATTTTCACTAATTACTTAACCCTCTTGTTTAGTAAGAAAATGTTTCATTTAACTGCCATTGAGAGGGGTAAATTGCATGGATATAGTGCTTTTTTTCCAAAGGGGAGTAGGATGGACCTCCATTTTCAGATTGATTTTTTCTACAAGCTACTCATCATGAAATATTGCTATAATTTTGTGTGTAAATATAAATTTACTTGTATAATGTGGAATTTGTAAATTTCATTCAATTAGTGAAAATTTAAGAAACAAAAAGAACTATACTTAAATAGTTTCCTGATACTTGTTTTTGTTTATGCTGAAAAAGGCAGAATAAACAGTTTTTTTCAATAGGATTGTCTTGTATGTTTAAATGTACTTTGTATTTACATTATGTGTGTAGGTAATTAAGTGAATGTACTGTATTTTGGGTTTTTTTCACTAAAATTTAAAAATGTGATCTTCATTTGTTGTTTTGTAATATCTAATTGATATGTTTTTTTTTTTATCAATGCACTTGTTAGAAATTACAATCTAATATTCCTTTACAGGTTCTGTCCCAGATTCAAACATGGGATAATTTAATCCTTCCAGTTGTAGATTCTCTGAAGTACCTAACATCCTTATCTTATGATGTATTGGCTTGTATCTTTTGATGTTGTACTTTTGAAAAAAATTAACATTACCGAATAATAATAAAAATTCCTTTAGAGATTGTAACACAGAAATTTTCTATTACACATATTAAACTGCAGCATTATATATTTGTACAAAACAGACATCATATTAAGTGTAGAAAATATCAGCATTAGCTTTTAGTGATTTCTGATGGTCATATTCTCTCACAACTTACTTTTGTGTTGTTTTTATTTAACATTAGAACAGTCACTTGACTTTGTATATGTTGTTAATAAATTTCAATTTATTTTGCCTGAAGATATGAAATATAATGATATGAAAAGAACAATTATTTGGCATAATGGAACAAGAAAAGCATTTCTTTTGAATGCCAAAAATGGAGAACTGAAATGTCTGCCCTCTAGTTAGTTCCACTAGTTATTTTAAGAATAATATCTTGTAAACTTGGGGAATTTATTCTTTTAACTCATGTATTTTTAATCAGCCTGGACTCGAAGCTGACATGGAAGAAATTATTACAAAATAGAATAGTAAAAAATGTCCTGAAACTAAATTAATTTATTATTTTTGTAAGTTGAAAATGTAAATATTTATTTAAATGTAGTATGAAAAATTACATGAAGTACTATGTCAAACAGTTTGGGACAAGCATGGATTATATAGATATGTGTCAAAAATATGCATTTTTTAAAAGTTTTTTTCTTTAAATTCTTCTTAATGTGGAAAATAATTCATTCAAAATGGTGAATGTTACATATTTCTATATGTAACAGTACATAATGACTGCAAAACAATTTATTAATTTTAAGATTCGGATGAAAAAGAGCATGAAATCAGTATCTCCTTACCTTCAGTTAGATAGTTCCTCCTGTTCCTGTTGGAACAAAAGGTGATGAGGGATCTCTACTTTTCCCTTTCACATGTGGCTTCTTTGTTCTCCCTCTGTTTCATGCTCATTTCTTGTAAGTCTTTAAAGGTGTTGTGCCAGGTCTTCTTTGGACAGCTAGATTTCCTGTTTCCAAGTGGTGGTACCCAATTCAGTGCTTTCTTGGTTTACCAACTATCTGGAAGTTTTTATGACATGACCACCAGTATTGATAATATTTTACTACAACTCCACTTATATTAGGTTTAAAATAAATAAAGGATCACACATAAAAGACAAACACGAGACTAAGTTATAAACTACATAATTAAAAGAGTAAAATTTACATTAGTATAATCAGTAAAGTGAATAGCTGGATCAGTTTAATACTATTGTTTTGACATTTGGAAGAAAAAAAATTATTCATTTAATAGTATGCTTAAACCTAAAAATTTGGGGCTTTATGATACTGTGTATATAGGTATGTGATCAATATAGAAGTTGGAATGGCCTAGGTGTAGTAACTTGTGCATTCCATAAATATCCTTTTGAAACAAACCTAATAACTTCATATTAATTGACCAGTACTTGAAATAATATGTAGCATTGTCAGTTAGTAATGTGCATCATTTTTATCACTCTTGTCAGCAAAATACCAGTCCTGATTGGCTGCATTGAATAAATGCTACATATGTGGTATTTAAAGAATAAATTTGCCCCTAGTGACAGTAAAATTCTAGGTACCAAAAAACAGATACCAATTTTACTTACTCATGACTGACTATAGCAATAACAGTTCTATATTGGTAGACCAACTGATGCCATGTCAGAGGAAGTCCATAGGAGACCTTTGATTACATATTTATTCCATTTCAAAATCCAAAACAAGTTAAAGAGGAAATGTAAATGTTTTATTCAAGTCCTAATTTTTTCATAAGTAAAGAAACTAAAAAGTGTTTCATTTCTTGGAGAAGGATTCTTTAACTGTTCTTGACAGACTGTATTATAGAGGCATTATCCAATCCAGAAAAGGAAAAAATGAAACATGATGGAACATCAATATCCCTTTGGCTTCAAAGTAAGTAATTTAGTGTATATGTTTATCCTTAGGTCAATGAAGGACAATTGAAATATTTTTAATAAACTTGATTCATATAAATGCTGTCCTAGCCTGTCAGTTCAAAATCTAAACTTGTGTTCTTTCATCAAATAATCTTCAAAATATAATATAACAAAATCAAGATCTTAAGCCTGTTGATCCTCAGATTGAGACCTGTCAAATGATTTTATTAGAGAGAGAGAGAGAATTACCTCTTTTAACTTGTAATTAGTATGTCTCTAAATATACCATAAAATTGTTTTTACTATACTACTAGCCAGAGAGCATTGCCTTAATGACTTCTATGAGTTATGCACGCACTATGTGAAGATCCTTTTCATTAGTCTTACTATTGAGTTGGTTCCTATTTGTATTAAATGTGATCCAAATGCATTACCCTGCAAATACTATAAATACAGGTCATTGAGATATTTGTTCAACTTACCATTTGATCCAAATCATTTTGTAATACCTCAATATTCTAAGTACAGCTAGAAATACTAAAGAGTATAATCAAACTCTACTAATTATTCCCCTATCAATATCATTAATGTAAATAATAAAATGCAAAGGCTCAAGCACTAACTCATGAGGTACTCCATTAGTAACATAAATCCAACTTGATTGGACATTAGCTTACTCACATTTATCTAACCATTTCCCCAACTTCTACAGATGTTATTTTCTTATCTTTTGTGTGGCACCTTATCAAAAGCTATTTGAAAATCTAAATACATCATGTCCATGCACTTCTCATTGTTCTTCTAACAAACAATATCATTAAAAAAAAAGATGTACAAGGGAAAATTTCTTCTTATAAATCTATGTTGGCTTGCATTTGTGGTGTACATTTGACTAAATTGCTTTGTAAAACCTAACTGCAGAATTTTTCCCATTACAGAAGTAAGACTAGCTGACCTATAATTCCCAGAGCAACTCTTATCACCCCTTTAACCCTTTGAGTGCATAATTAAATTTTGGGTGGATCCACTAGTTGCACTTTTGCTCGGTGATGTACACATGCGCGTTAGCATTATTTCAGTTTGTCTTTATACAGACAATGAACAGATATCCAAGGAATGGGGTTGCTTAGGTTACTCCTATGTTTAACTCTTTTGGATGCTATTATCCAACTAGACATTTATTGTCATTTTGTGAAACAAGCAGATTTACCCAACATTATCAGCAAAATGTTTCCTCATAATGCAACAATTGGGATAATCACACATCCTTGAATTTCCTCCTTTAGTACCATGTACCTTATGCAACAAATTCATGTTTATTTTTTGTTAAAATTATTGAAACAATTGTGTAATTTGTAACATTTTGCAGAAATTGTTCTTCTCTTTTTTTATGTTCAATTTGTCCAATAACTAAGAAGTTACTGTATGTGTTGAGTAACTAAACTTTACTAATGCACTTAAAGTTTTTCTGTCCGCTGAATAGTTTGGTATCATAGAACACCTAGCTTATTGTATTTACTAACCGTAAATGTTCTTACCTTATCTCTTGTCATAGAAAAATATTCCTGTAGCTTTTGAACAGACATAATATAGCACAAAAATAACATGAAAAGAAACTATGAAGAATTACCTGGTTTATGGGTTCTTCCTAAGTTTTGCAAATTTTCTAACCAATCATTTTAGCCTGTTGGTTCTTTCGGGTTTCTAGGATAAACTTTGTTAATTGCTGTACAGCATACTTGCTATGGCTTTATAAAATGCTTGCTACACCAGGTTTTAGAAGTAAGATCACTTGCCAAAAATAAAAGTCACATGAGAAATAAAATATGGATAAGTAATTTTTTAAAGGATGACAGATTCTGAGTAAGTACAAACCTATACTTTGGGATAGGCAAAAGAACTAAAAAAAAATCTATAAGGGTGTTGTTTACAGGAGATGTATGCAGAGATCAAAGCTCAAACATCTTTAAAATATTTCTTATCCAATTATACTAAAATTGTGCAGAGTTACAAAATATCAATTCTTAAATATTTTCAAGTAAAATAATTTTTAAACTAGTTATAATTATTTTTACTTACATTGTTAAAACTTGATTTGCAAGTGTGCAATCAGTATGAACCTTGCTGACTAGTTGTTGTAGGGTTCAAATGTGATCTCTTGTGTTGTTACTCCCTACAAAAGTAAATGATGTGTATGTGTCCTTTGTTGCTATCTTGCCATGATAGTAAATGTGCATGCAATGTATTTTGTGTCCCAAAAGTTATCTTCTTTTTTTCTTTCTTATTATTCACCATTATTGCAGCCACCAATGAGCATACACTTTATCGTTAGCTTCCTGTTGTTGCTTCTGTCTTTATCACAAGTTGTTTATGTACCCTAAAAGTTGACTTCACATTTTTACTATGCTCTTTGTCACATGTTTATGATGAACTACATTATGTGCTGAAGATTGTAGCTTTCTGTTACTACCCCCTTGAGGTGGATTCCTGTCTGTGGTGAGGGGACCTCCCAGAGAAGGATCTATATCTTCAGTTTACCTCCTCTGGGAACTGAACATCCATCCACCCACTTGTTTGCCATGCGTGGCATTGTGTGTAGGGGAGGAGAGGATCCTGGTGGTTGAGGGATGTCAGTGATGGGTAAATTTTCGTTGGTGACACTTTAACACATCACTTTGGCCTTGAATTCCTGTAGATGGGTGGCCTTAGGGTGGCTACCCCAGGGTCATTTGGCTGGTCCTGTTGGGCTAAGATCAACTAAGTACCAGTGTTAGACATTCTCAATGAGTGGTGTGGATACTGTGTTTGATGCTGGTGTTTATGTATAGTGCCACAAAACCCTGGCATCTCTACAGTACTCTATTTTAGCATTGTAGTGCATCCCCTTATAGGACTCCATGGTGGGAGGGGTCAGTGGGACTGAAATTTTTCTCTTTTGTATGGATTCTGCGCCCAGTGACCCAATAAATACACAAAAAACACTCATTAATTGGAAAGTGACTATGTTACGTTCTACATCTGACAAACCTTTAGGGTAAACGTCTTCCTTTTTCATTCAAAAGAGATTAAAGTGGCTTGCTGGCTCTCCAAAGTCAGTTAAGAAGCTACACTGAACTCCTCCCAAATATCGAAGGCCATTGGGGATATATCTATTGAGGTTACTCTTCATTTTACTTTGAATTCTTTCTGAAGAGTGAATGTTGAGAGGGATTTATGAAACATCCCCAAGTTGGAGATCCTTGCTGGTTTCTCCAGCTGAGGTGTTTCTGCTATGCATTGTTTCTCCACTTTTAAAGAGGGAATTAGGCTGCCTACCAATGTTCTTGTTTTGCCATTAACATTGCCACATCCATCTGCCACTGTCAAGGCAGGTTATCTGAACTGTATGGTATGGCCTTATATTCCTAACCTTCTCAGGTGTTTCCAGTTTCAGTGGTTTTGACATTCAAAGGCATCTTGTAATGGTTCTTTGACGTGTGCCTGTTGTGGTGGCAAAGACATTGAGGCATACGAGTGTCAATTGGACCATCACTGCATCAATTGTGGTGGTTCCCACCCCTCTTACTTTTGATTTTAATCTAAGTGGGTGGGGGAAAAAGAAGTACAATGTTTATTTATTGTAAAAAACATTTCGTACCCTTAGGCTTGGAAGTTGTTGTCCCCTGTTCAGTCTCAGTCATATTCTGCTGCTCTCTGTTCCACTGCTACAGTGGCAGTGCAGAAAGATCTTTCTGTGCCTCCATCAGAGTCTTTCTCAAACCATGTGAAGAGTCTTTTGCCCTCCTTGGTTGCACGGGTTGACAAGAGTACGTCTACTTCTGTTTCTGTCCCCACCATCACTTCCAGTGACTGCTCTGGTCCATTTCCTTTGGCCCCGAGATGCAGAACCATTATTCAGTCATGCTCTCAGTCTCTGGAGTATCCATCCACCGACAGAGATCTGCCCAATTGACCCTGGGTAGGTTCCATGGAGGTCGACAGACCTCATTCTACTAAAGAAAAATGTTGTGGCTGCTGACAGATGGGTTCTCTACCCAGTTATTCTCCATCTAAATAAAAATGGACACTTTAATGCAGTGGAACTGTCGAGGCTTCTATTCTGATTTGGATGACATTAAGGCCTTGATCAATTCCTATCATCCCATGTGTCTCTCCTTATAGGAAACATTACTAAGACCTGCTGATACTATCACCTTTCAGCGGTTTTCTTTATACCAGAATGACAGATTGTGTGATGGTCAAGTTTGTGGAGGTGAAAAATCTGCAAAATTTTGTAAAGACTTGTGTACATTTTCAAAAATCATAGTACAATTACTCTCATAGATACTTTCCTGGTTACGGGCTGAGTGTAATTCACTCAGCCCATAATGGAAGGGTTAAGCCCTGTTGGTTGCAAAAACGAATGCAAATGGTTTTAAAGGAAGAGAAGGTAAAACCACTTGTATTGGTCCACTTCAACAAGTGAGTGAGGGCTGTCTGAAGCTGCCACTCAATAAACCTCATGTTTGATGACCGACAAGAAATGTGGAAGTCATCAACATAGAAGCCGTTTCATACAGTAGGAGGAAGTTGTTTAGAGATGCTGGTGGTGAACTTAATCCAAGATTTCACCCGGCTTTGACTTCTGACCCGCTGAAAAGAAACATAGTTGGAAAAAGTGAGATACTTCAAAAAGGTATCCCAGGCTCCTTTCTAAGCCTTCTGTGCCTGAGGGGCGGGTAGGAGACCGCCTTGGATGAGGATACCTTGGGAAACGTGTCGAGATGTTGGGGATAGAATGAACAGCTGCTTGAAAGATACAATCAGTTACTGCCTCTAGGCAGTCTTTAATAGATGGAAGACTAACAACAGCAGGATCAAGTTCTGAGAGAGCAGTGAAGGAGTGTTAGTCAGCCTGCTCAAACATTCACCGTGGCACTCGGGTCAGGTGGCAACAACCATGGCCGATCTCCTTCAAAATGACAGGAAAATGATCACTGCCCCATGGGTCACTGTCATCCTTCCAAGAAAAAATGAGAAAAAAGTGAAGGAGAACAGATAAATATATCA